GTGTCGGCGAATCCGTAACGAGGCAGTTAGAAAGCGTGTTTTCGGTTGTGTAACGGGTACTTCCATTGAAGAATGTGTCCAGCACCAGAAGCTGCGTTGGTTGGGACATGTTTTACGCATGCCGAACCATCGTTTGCCGAAGAGAGTACTGTTTTCCATGCCCAATTCGGAGTGGCGTAAACAGAGGGGTGGCCAACCCATGACCTGGCAGAGGAGTATGAAGGAGATCACGAAACGCTTGGGTGCTGTCGGTGCTACTTGCCTTCCAGGATGCGGACCGCGTGATCCTCACTGTGCCTGGTTGGAGACACTACAAGATATGGCTGCCAACCGATGTCAGTGGCGTTCTTGTTGTCAGTTTCTATCCAGATCGCCTGAGTGAGTGTCTGAAGGTATAGACACCTCGGAGTGATTGTGTTAAGCTAGCACTAAGTCCCTCCCCCGTCCACCTTTACTCTTTTCTTTGCAATAAGGCTTTCAAATAAGTCATGGTTGTACGACAGTGAAGCATCGGTGTTAAACACTGATGTCATGCTGTCGATGATGGTGATGATGAGTAATCAGGGAACATCAAAATTTTGGGGTGCCTGTATGAATGAGTGCTTAACACAGGACAAAGGCCCAAATAACTCCTTCCTATCCTAACCAGTGTAGTCTATGAAGCGTGATTAATTCAAATGTTGGAGGAGCGTTCTTCTCAAGACCATCTGGCGTACCTCAGCACTGTTAATACGGTGTTTCCACCAGATCTGACCAACGCTTCGGAGACACTGGTGGTCAAACACATCCTTTGAATTTTCTCTGTGAATAGACGTCACGTCTCTGATCCATAAAGCAGTATGGATCGCACGGAAACCCCTGACAGATGAACTGTCGTCACGTCGGCGCCATAGGTGTCGGAGTTTAGCAAAAGCTGCCATGGCCTTTCCGGTTCAAGAAGTAATCTGATCTCCAGCCAGTCCACCGGAACTTATACAGCTGCCCAGGTAAACAGATTTATCTACCACATCGACTGCAAGCATGAGGTTTGGGTTTGGTCCAACGCAGTCTTGTAGAATCACTTCATATTTCACGGGTGTGAAGCGCATACCAACCCGTGCGACAGAGTTATTTAGGTTATTCAAAATCCTCGGAATTCGGGTAAGATCTGATCCGAAGAGAGCTGTTCAAGAATTTTCCTCAGGGTGAAGCTATGGTTGGTGCATCCTCGATTAAGGTGAAACTCAGCTTGATTCTCACGAATCTCTCTCCCGGTAATCGATCAGCCTGTGCAAAATAATGCCAGAGAGCATCTTAGGTGCGACGGATACCAGGCTGATACCCCTGAAACGCTGGTTTTCACATGAAGTTCTTCCGCCCTTTTTGAAAATTGGGATGACGGTTGAGGAGCTTCATTCGGCTGGTATTCGGTTTTCGTTTCAAATCTTTTGTATAATGGTGGTTAGACTACTCACCAGGACCCCGCCACCTTTGAAGAGCGTGGGGTGTAGACCATCCTCACCAGGTGCCTTGTCGCGCTTCAGGATTGAAATCTCACACTGGATTTCGATTGCTGATAGTGGGTTAATGTCAACCTTTCATTCGGGCCCGCTTGGTTACTCCAGCGATTGTGTTGAAGGAGAAAAGCTGGACTGTTCTCTGAAGTGTTTGGCCCACCTCCCAAGACAGATAGAGCACGTGGGAGTTTGTTGTGATCCGTAGTTCAGTAACGCTTGAGGGAGGAAATGTGTTCGTTTATTAACGAAGCTACCGGCGCTTCCAAGCTCACGATCCATTGTTGCGTTTCGGCTTGGGGGTCCGGCCGAGAAATTGCAGGTGGCCAGTTAAATTACTGCTGAAAGTGTTAAACCCAACGACTCAGGAGGTCTTTTTTGGAGATAAGGGCCTCTTTGGATCTGTTGCGCGCATCGGTTGGATAGTTCGCACACACACTCAGAGTTTCTCTTTTCCACCGATTTCTCAGTTATCCGGGCTCCCCAAACTATGAATAAACCTCACTAGCGGGAAGTTGGTTGTTCGTTAATCGTATCTGTTTGCATCCCAACCGACTGCAGTTCTACTGCCATCCAATATAGTTTCTATGGTACCTTGGTTGCCATTTTACGACAGGCCGAAGACAGATATTGATTTGGTTTTCCGAGCCTTATCGTAAGATGTCTCGAGCACCAAAATCTCTGGTGATTGGTTCTGTATTTTGAAAACTGTTTGCCGAAGCGAGTGATTTCTACTTACCCAATTCGGAGTGGCTCAAGCAGAAAAATGGCCAGCTTCTGACCGGTCGGAGGGGTTTGAAAGTAATTTTAAAAAGTTTGGGTACTTCCTGTGCGTCTTCCGTGTGCTCCCCAGTGTGCATGACTGGGGACGTCGTAGTGTCTTTGGTAATCGATTTGAATGGAGGTGTAGGCACTTCAGCGTGATTGTGGCAGGCTAGCACTAGGATTCTACCATGCACTTGTATCTCTCCTCACGGTAGGGCCTTCAAATAACTTATACTTGTACGGTGGCGAAGTATGGTGATGATGTCCACACATCTGCTCCACTGTGTTTCATTCTGAATCGTTCTTCCTTTGCCAAGATTTTCTGAACCGAAAACTTTCCTGTAAGTTCTGAGCGCGCAGACCGTTCATGCAGGAATCCTCCCGGAAACTTTCAGCAAATCATCGTGCATACGTGAAAGAAACTTGCACAGACTTCCTTTTGCGGCATTGACCCTCATTCTGTTCGTTTTCGACGCATTTTTGTACGACAACTCGTGCTGGAAAATCCCTGACACTGCATAGCCTGTAGTTGTGAAGACCCCCTTACATATGAGGGGAGACATAAAAAGCTTGAAGTTATCGTAATTGTCTCTTTTTGATGGAGTTCTCTTAGAACAAACTGGATTTATCCGGGACTGGAGAACTGGAGTGCCAGGCGTTTTTTTCAGCCTCAGTTAATGATATTACTTCTATACCTCTCCGGGTTCCTTAGTGTCCA